GTATTCGGCCCCACTTTTCTGTACCTCAACACTGTTGCCAACCCCCGTGATTCTCAAACTCTCTGGGACGATGCTAAAAACCAGGTAATTAATTTATTAATTAATCAGTAATTACCCTTCAAATTCTTCATTATTCTCCTTTTAATGTCCTTTTTTCCCTTTCCGGCAGATGCAAAAGGAAGTTGGAAGCTGGCCGTATGATTTTCCTCAATCAAAAGATTTCATTCCATCCAATCAACGGGGAAAAGTGTCTGGACAATTGCTAATCAGATGGTATATATATCTGTTGTCCCTCTCATTAGTAAGCCACAATTCCTTGTCATTAAAACATTAAATAATGATCTTAATTTCCTTGATTTTCTAGGTACCCTACAGGTGTTACATTATTTAACGTTAGTAATGCTTACGTTGGTCTAGCCCTCCCAGGAGATGAAGGATCATGGCAAACAGAAAGCAAGGTACATGTTTCTTCTCCTGCCATTGAAATTTAGTTTCTTCAACCCTAGTCAGTAAGCAAGAAACTAATTAAGATTATATATATAAATTTATTTGCAGGGTTATCAATTTTGGACCCAAACTGATAGTAGCGGCTTCTTCACTATACAAAATGTTGTGCCCGGGGACTACAACTTGTATGGTTGGGTCCCTGGCATTCTTGGTGATTACAAATATGAGTATGACATTACCATCAAATCAGGTATATTCTCTACGAACTTACTTGATACGTGTTTTGAAAGGTTCATCGATCAGTATGATCTAAGTAAAAGCATTTGCATAGTTTTAACTATTAATTTAACTGACGTTGGTTTTACAGGAGATGACATCCAATTAGGTCAATTATACTATTGGCCTCCAAGAACTGGTCCTACGGTTTGGGAAATTGGAATTCCTGATCGATCAGCTCAAGAGTTTTATGTGCCCGACCCATATCCTAGTCTCGTTAACAACTTATACCTAGGAAAGCCCAATGACAGGTTTAGACAGTACGGCTTGTGGAAACGTTATACTGAATTATATCCAACTAACGACCTCGTTTACCATGTGGGTGTTAGTGATTATTCCAAAGATTGGTTCTACGCTCAGGTTCCCAGGTAATCAATGAATTGGTCTTGACATTTCTTAGACCCAAGTAAATTCAGAATTCATTTATATGAAAAAAAACATATACCACCTCCTGTTCTTAATACAACATGTAGTTTGTAGTTGAAATTGAATTGTAAACTAGATCCTATATAATCAAGAAACGGAGGTAATATAACATAACGTTTATTTTGAAAGTGAGGTGATAATTGTTTTTATTTTTAGTTTTTTTAGAAAATGTGATTTTGTGACACGCAGGGACCTAGGAAACAGCACATACAGTGCAACAACATGGGAGATAAGATTTGAACTCCCATTTGTCATTAGAGGAAGTTACACACTACATATTGCCTTAGCATCAACCACTAGTTCTCGCTTAATCGTAAGTATATTCATCATTGATGCTCATCTTCATCAATTACTAGCTCTCTCTATCTCTTTCTATACTTCAACCTTCGAAGTACGTGGGTCAGAGAACTTTTGAAGTTGATGATTTTAAGGTAATAATTAACAACATGTTTGGTTGGTGGGGGGATTAATTAGGTTTGGGTCAATAAAGGCGGGAATCGTCACCTGAGGTTCAATACAGGATTAAGAGGAGAGGACAATGCGATAGCAAGGCATGGCATCCATGGATTGTATTGGAGATACAACTTTCAAGTACCAAGCTCTCTACTTGTCACAGGAACCAACTCCATTTACCTCACACAACCTAAGGCTAAATCTCCTCTTCAAGGAATTATGTATGACTATATCCGTTTTGAAAGCCCCACGCTTTTTGGCTCTCCTAATCATAATTAATTATTTTCTAGCTTATAGATCGAGCGAGCTATTAATAATGAGCCAGGATGTGTGTATCTGTGTTGATTGCATGTTTTTTTTTTTTTCCAAAATCTTTGATTTTTATTCCATCGGTTGGGTGAAAAATGAGTTGTACTGTTCACGACTCATGAACATATTATAATTTTTATGTAAATCTTTTAATGGTTGCATTGGTCAAATTATAAAAGTACGCAGTTAATTTTTTGAAACTGTGGTTTTGTCATGAAACCATGGTTTGCCCATCAAAATCATGGTTTTATCATAAGCGAAATTTTGTTGCTTTTGGAACCAATATGGATGTTGTTGTTAGCGAAATGTTTTGCCCCATCACTGCCATCTTCACGCCTTCATATTTCTCCTTCTTTCTCCTCCCTGATCCTTCTTTTTTTTACCAGTTCTCCTCCCCCACTTAAAATAATATTTTTCTGTTGAATTTTTTTTCATTTTTCTAAAAACATATTTAATCTTATATTTTATAAATATATATACACATATTAACAATTAATTAATATATTTTTTATACATTATTTATTATGTTGGCAAAAAAAACCATTAACAAATTTATTATTCTGGTCCTTAATGTAAAACCTAATTGGTGTTCACTCAACAATAACCAAGTAGGTGAGAGAGGAAGAAAATTAAAAAAAATGCTTAGGGTGTCTTAAAAAATCATATTAATTAATTTAACTAATATTCTTAATCTACTCAAGTTAATTAATTAGATCTTACATTAAGGACAATAGAAGAACTTCAAATAAAAATATAAATTAAAAAATATATTTTTATATAATTATCATATTAACATATGTCCTTTTTAGTAATTTACACCTAAAAAAATATTTTTGATAACAATTATCCAAACACTCTCTCTTTATTAGAATTACTTTTTCACAAAATCTATTCTTTTAAAATTTATTTCAAAATCTATTCTCCAGAACCATTTTTCAAATCATAGTTTGGTTCTACCCAAACACCCCTGAAGTGAAACAAGACTAGAGCTCGGAAAACAAGTTGACCCCTTCGGGCTAACCTGTTTAAGTCAAGGGCCGAGCTTATATTTTAAAGATTTGAAAGAAAAGTTGGACTTAAAAGGGCTAGCCCAGTAGGACCGAAAAATAAGCGGCCGGCCCATTTAAATCTGTCAATAATTTTTTTAAAAAAATTTTATATTTTTTTCTTAACTTAAAAAAAACCCTAACATTTTACACATAACACGTTTCACTCACCCCAGCAACTCACATAGATAGCATTCACCAAAAAAAAAAAATCACTATAATTGTTGGAAAAATAAAAAAAAATAGAAATTACAAAATTTAAAATTAGGTATATTCACAAAATGTATTGTTATTTATAAGTTGTCAAAACCTATTAAAATATTGTATGTATGATTTTTACGGTCTTTATTTGTTATTCTTCCATATTTTTTATGCTTGAAATAGGATTAATTAAAGAATCTTTTGAATTAAAATAAAGATCTATATCATTTTTATAGTTAGAAATGAATTTAGAACTAGGGATGATTGACTCTTCTTTTTTTTTTTGCCAGCAAGACTAATGATAATTCTTTATGTATACTATGTTTGTTAGTTAAACTTTTTTGTTAATTATTTATAATTAAACCAGATCATTCCCATTGTAATTATTTACTGAACTTAGTGCTTATTTAGTCACTTATATCTGTCTTCTATTTAGTTTGTTTATTCAATAGACTCTATTGCACTATGATAAATGCTTAGATATGATAATATTTATGTTTGTGACTTAATTTTATTTATATTTATACATTTTATTAGTAATTTTATTGTTTTATTTTTATTATTTTGATAAAATATACAAAAAAAATTAAAAAATTGCATTTTAGTTAAATGGGCTACAGCAGGCTAGTCCTGAGCCAGTCATCTCAAGGGTTGAGCCTGATAAAATCATTTATTTTTGGGACTCGAGCTTAAATGGGCTAACCCATTTAGGCCCGAGCTAGTGACGGCCTAGCCCATTTTCCCAATAAGACTATACATCAATCAATATTAATTTAGCAATAATATTCGAATTTAATTTATTCAATAGACTCACATGTATAATATAAATTATAAACAGTTAAACCATTCACCAGTCATTATCACTGCAAATTACAGAAAAAATCATGTCCAATCGTATTTAAATGCAGGAAAATTAAACTAGGATGTATCCGTACTACGTGTGTGTGTGTATGGTTCTTCATCCCCTAATTTCCTCAAACAAGCCTAAAGTCATTATCTGACCAAAACAAAAACAAAAAATAAGGTCATTCACGGAGTCAAGACATTATATATCCGGCCTTTAGAAAGGTTATTCACCTGGTTATTAAAAATAAATCTTGACTGCGTAGATTTAGTGACGACTTTACTTTTTAAATTTAGGTAGATGGTCGGCAGAACAATAATTTCTTTAAAATAAAATTAAATGCGCACTTTGGTTGCCCACTTGTCCTTAATTATTCCTGCTTTAAAGTAATGATTTAATTAACTAAGCAATCATTGAGTGCTTTGCGCCAATGATTTAACTCTTATGAACAGTGCAGCAGCCCCAAAATTCCCGTCAAATTGCGTTTTGTCCAAGCATCTGTTCATATACAAAGATGTAAGTTGTGACAGATAGGAGCGCCGCACAGATAGAATATTCCAGCAAGCTAAGTTAATTAACCATAGATGGCAACATGAAGTAATGAAGAAATTTGAATCACTGAACTCAGTAATAGTACAATCTGATTTTCATCGTCTTATAGTTATAATTAACTCTTCCCGTCCTAAATATAAGATCCTTATATAGTGTATAAAAGGATTTATATTTAGAATCGGAGGAGTATAAAAGTATTTAAGGATGCATGGAAGTAACAAAAATATCAAATGATTGCGGCCTTCAGTTGAGGATTAAAAAACTTGAACGAACGTGACGCTTCAACTATTCCATTATAGCTATGATATAGTTTATTTAAATTTTAAGGGTTGGCAGCTGGCAAAAAAAAAAAAAAATTAAGGGTTGGCAAAAACACACTTATTTAAGAGCACTCTCTTCTTCAATTGTGCTCAGTCTCTCTCCATTCTGAATTGCATCAGATTGAAATGGGTTCACAAACAGAGATGGAGCATCCCCTGAAGGCTTTCGGATGGGCTGCTAGGGACACGTCCGGAGTTCTCTCTCCCTTCCACTTCTCTAGAAGGTCCCTCGCTTCCTTCTTTCATGTATTTGATTCTTTGATTAGGTTCTGTAGAATATGTTTCATTACCTTGGATGTATCAAAATTACTGGGGACGAGAGATCCTTCTTCTGATCAATCTAAATGTTGTTGCAGGAAAACCGGAGAGAAAGATGTGGTGTTCAAAGTGATGTACTGCGGGATTTGCCACTCGGATCTCCACATGCTTAAGAATGAGTGGGGCACTTCCATCTATCCACTAGTACCCGGGTATCTTTTCCCAATTATTATTTTAATTATGATTTGTCATCCTATGTAGTTATCATTTGCTTTCCATGCATATATGTTTGATTATTTTAATGCATAAAACCAATTTGACCGGTCGCCAATAATAAAGCATAATAGTTTTTAAGCCAATTTCACCGGAACAGGCGGTATCGAATTTCCTTGTGTCTTCCTTTCTCTTCTTTGAGAGTGAAGAAAAGAGCGCCGCTGGCACATGTTATGAATATGACATTAAGGCTCACTGTATACGATCCTGCTTAATTTGAAGAATCGTCCCAAGAAAGAATATAAATATCAAAAGATCTCCGGACATGTCACTGCTTGTGATTTATATTTTCCGTTTCTTTCTTTTTCTTCTTCTTCCTCCTTATTCTCTCTCTCCCACCATCGGCCTCAATACACTGGCTTGAGGGTTTTATGGTTTCTTGCTCCTTAAAACCCGTTCCAGTTTGTGGTTTAAATGTAGTTTTCGACTCTAAAGCAGCTTTCAAACCGATAAAATATTTCTTGGTTTGAATGTAGCTCCATAAAACCCGGCCCAATAATCCATAAGATGGTTTAAGCACTTAAAGATGATTTCTGCTTGCATATGATTCTGACTGTTGTATCAAATTCAGGCATGAAATTGTTGGTGAAGTAACAGAGGTGGGAAGCAAGGTTGAGAAGTTCAAAGTTGGAGACAAGGTAGGTGTGGGATGCATGGTTGGTTCTTGCGGCTCGTGCAAAAACTGTACTGAAAATCTTGAAAATTACTGCCCAAAAATGATTCTCACATATGGTGTCAAGTATGTGGATGGAACTATCACATATGGAGGCTACTCTGACTTGATGGTTGCAGATGAACAGTTTGTGGTTCGCATTCCAGACGGCTTTCCTCTTGATTCTGCTGCTCCTCTGCTTTGTGCTGGGATCACTGTGTACAGTCCTTTGAGGTACTTTGGACTGGACAAGCCTGGTTTACATGTTGGTGTGGTTGGTATTGGTGGTTTAGGCCATATGGCTGTGAAGTTTGCCAAGGCCTTTGGCGCTAAAGTGACAGTAATAAGTACATCACCTAATAAGAAAGAGGAAGCATTAAGAAATCTAGGAGCTGATTCCTTTGTGGTCAGTCGGGAGCAAGATCAGATGCAGGTTACCATCAGAATTTGTTTCTTTATTGTTCCTGCATCTTATAAATTGTCAGGATCAGATTCTAATTAATAACATGCTTATTAATGTAGGCTTTAACGGGTACCTTCGATGGTATCATTGACACTGTTTCTGCTGTTCATCCTCTCTTGCCTTTGATTGATCTGTTGAAATCTCATGGGAAACTCGTTATGGTCGGTGCCCCAGAGAAGCCTTTAGAACTCCCAGTCTTTCCTCTACTCATGGGTAAGTCCATTATCTTCTCTAGCTAGTTAAAGCGGGTTGTGTCTAATAAGCATCACTGAGAAGTCATTTTCATGATTGAAACAGGAAAATGATGCTTAGTTGCTAACCAGTAGTATTGGTCACTTCTATGCAGGGAGGAAGTTGGTGGCTGGGAGTGCCATTGGAGGGATGGAGGAGACACAAGAAATGATTGATTTTGCTGCTAAGCACAACGTGAAGCCTGACATTGAGGTTGTTCCAATTGACTACGTGAACAAGGCAATGAAGCGTCTCGAGAAATCAGATGTCAAGTATCGATTTGTTATCAATATTGGGGAGACACTGAAACCAAGCTCTTAATTTGCACTATCCAGATTCTGCAATATTTGAGTTTGTCAGTATATATACTGGACAATCATATATATATATATATATATATATATCATGTACAAGGTTGGAGTAGTTGGCAACATGAAAGGAATGAAGTTGGAACCTGTGAACTTGGTAATAAAATCTGATTTGCTTTCTAGTTTATGTAAATGTTGAATTTGTTGCATTGATTAAATCAAATAAGAACTCGGAGACACGCATGTGGAGTGGGGGAAAAAAAGATGAAACCGGTCCTAACCGCAGAGATCTGCGTCATGGTCCACGATGATAGATACCCAAATCTAAGGAAGCCCATGTGAACCAAGGGGCCCATTGTGTTATAAATGAAAGGAGGGACCAGGGCATTCAACAAGTGTAGCTGTATTTGTACCCCGAAAAAAAAAAAAGTGTAGCTGTAGCATGAGATGAGCCGCTGAAATTTTTGCTATGAATTATCATCGTTATTAATGTAGGAGTATTTTTTTAAAAAAATTACGGTCAGATATAATTAACTAACTTTGCTCCTTAAAGTATATGAAGTGGATTTTTCATAAATGAGATCCAATTTGTGACCTCCCACTCATAAAATGGCTCTCTTGGTATTTGTAGAAGAAGATATTTTAGAAAGATCAATGATGAAGATATTGGGTGACAAGGGCAAAAAAGTTTGAGAATAACTATCCACAGTTTTCAATATAAAAGTTAATTTAAAATTGAATTTAATTATAAATATAAAGCCCCCATCCGTCTTAATTAAAATATCCCTATTGATTAGAGTCATGAAAGATTCTTTTTCCTTGTGTTTGTTTTTATCCAATTCCGTTTTCTGTTCTTGTCGTTTTTTTGTTTGTTAAAGCATGGGTATCTTCCTATTAGAGACAATTCTATTCGAGGTATTGTCAGATGTTAAATGTACACACTTTTCCTAGCGGGAATTCGAATCTTAATTCACTACGTTGTGAGAGACTAATCTTTTTTACTAGATCAAACTCCCGTTGATTGCTCTTGCCGTTTTGATCCCAATGTCTGTGGCAGTTGCCCTCTTCTATGCTAAGGTCCATCTTGTGGGCCGAAATGGATGTGATTCATCACTCCTATAACGTCAATTCAAATATACGTTCATTGCTTCATTTCGTGTTAGTACACTACGCCTCGACTTTCACTGTGCCAAATACTTTTATCCACTGCACATATGGATCACGTTTTAATTTTTGAAAACAGGAAAAGTGACTTACACGTCACTGAACACAACACTGTTCAAATCCAATAATTAGTTTGCAACAATACAAATTTGCCAAAGCTGACAAATTCCTGGTGGTTGCTTCTCTTTTTTCAGTACGTCCCCATCCTCCTCTCCTTAAATACTCGGACAATACTCCTATAAATTTCGATTTTTTTAGCATAAGAATATACAAGATTAATTTTTAATGCCTTGCAAAAAAAAAAAAAAGTTCCGATAGAAAAATAATATCATTTCATCATGGCTATTGGTATAGGTGCTGGAATCATCGTCAGTGGCTATTGGAGGCCACCATCGTTTTTCTTTTTCTTTTTCTTTTTTTTTCCGATCAATAACAATAAGAGCCCGAAAAATGCAATTTTCATTTAGAAAAAGTACTACTCTCAGTATGTAATATAGAGTTAGTTTAATTTTTAATTTGATTCTAAATATGAGATTTTAATTTATTTTATTTTTAAAATTTATTTATTTTTTAAAGATAACCCTTACAGTAGTTACATATGTTAAATGTCTCATCAAATAACATTTGATTAGTAAAAATATTTTAAGAAAGACAATACATATTTATTACAAATAACTAGCTTAACGAATTTTATTAGTCAACTCAAATTAATCAACTAATTTTTTTATTAAAAACTGGAAGTAATATAACCAACACTTTTCAGGCCAAAAGTTGTTCATGCATGGGTTTAAATTCTTTTCATGTATATTAATAGGGTTGGGTTTTACGAAATAGCTAATATCTTATAATGTGATAAATTGATATTTAAATTTTTAATTAAAAAATGTGTATATTTAAGAACTGACAGTGTGTCGAATAAAATTAAAAAAATATTTGTATTAAAGAAATTCATTTTATGTGTACGTTTAGAAACAGTGGCACAATTTATTAGAAAAAAACAAAAAGCAGGGGCATAAAAATATCTTCCAATTCAATTTTTCAAACACCATTATTGTCGAATCTCGAGAATATGGCGTGAGACTACTTGTTCGCTATTAAGTGTAAGGCAGGATGACAACGACGTGAAGCCACACCCAACCCGACACATATTATCATTATCAGCCACTGATAAGGCTATGGCTGAAAAAAATGAAAAGAGACTTGAAACTTGAAAGGGAGTTGTACGAGTTTGATGAAGAGATTTTAAGTTCAGCACCCACAAGGTTTGCGTTGGATGCTCCGAGGCCCAGCACTTATTTACATCTGATTTGGACGGTTAGAATTTAATTTTATTTTTATTTTTAAAAATAATTATGTTGATAGGTATAGGATAAAAAATAAAAATAATCTTTCAAATATCATGTTTTAAAAAATAATTTTTTATTTTAAAATAATTATTTGAAAATATTAAATCTGGATCGTCCAGATTAGATATGAATGGTTCAGATTGCTCATTAAGTAATGAGCATCAAATGTGGACCAACGCTAAGAATGTGACACGAGAGATGAAACTTGCCACAAGAAAGAACTTTCATCCCACTGGATTCTTATTAGTTTAAGAGGATGTTTAGATAGAATGTGGTTATGGTTTTTAAAATAATTTTAGAATATACAAAATAAATATATGAAGTAATTTGTTTTCACTTATGAAAAGTGTTTTTTTAAAATATTTTTCTGACAAGATATTTGGCATTCCTTATAAGCACTTTTCAAATGTATTTTTACACAAATTGGGATAATTTTTATCACATATTTATTTCGTATACCGTAAAATTATTTTTAAAATCATGATTTAAATTTTACTCAAACACCTTTTAAATTCGGATGAATTCTTTAGTAACTATAAGACATGCTTAGGATACCAGGCGCGGGTTAGTTCTAAAAACATTTTTATAAAAAAATTTCTCGGAATAATTATATTGCTATTTTAATACTCCTTCCGTTCCTTATTATAAAAGACATTTGATGCTTATAGCATGTTCCTAAATATAAGAGACACTTAAAAGTTGTCTCTACTTTTTTGTGTTGATTTCCTATTTTACCCATATTTATTATCTCCAACTCACACTCTCTCTCCTTCCCACTTCTCTTTCTTTTAAGAATTTACTATTGTTCTCTTTCATGCTCTCTCTCCTTATTAATGAGGGCATTTTTGGAAAAAAAATTATACTTTTTACACATTAATTGTTCTTAACTAATTTTAACTGTTTTTTTTATCAACGTAATTCGGTTATTCGTCTCTTATTCTCCCTTCTTTTGATCCTTTCTATGCGTGGCTTGAGAGGTGCTTTATGTATATTCTTCCAATAAATAAAAGCACACCGATTTATTTTATGCCATCAAATCAATACCAAAAAAAATCCATATATTTAAATATATGCAGGGCTGACTTTACTGCCCAATAACTACTTACAAAAATTTATCTTCCCGCGTTTTACGCCACGCACGCACATAAGAGTGAACTAATTTCCTGAATAATTATTGATTGTTTTATTCGTTCATCTCTGTCTTAATGTTCGTAATGTGTACTGTTGAAAACTTTTTGGAGCTGCTTAATGTTTTCCATATGGCAAAAAATAAAATATCCACTTTCTTCAATTATTGTGCGTGACTTTATGGGTGAGAAAGGAGTAATATGGAAAGAGATAGAAAAATTATGCGGATGAAATTTCCTCTGGTCATGACATTTGGGGGCTGCAGGCCACACCTTCAAATGTTTGCACTGAAAATGATTTCTCCTGAATTTTAATCCACCCACCTGCCTTCCACGCAAAAACCACTTCCAAATATTCAATCTACCTGTGTTCCCACAATTTCCTTTTCTTTTTTTTTGGTAAAGAGAAGGGGCATCTTTTTTACTTACATAATCCGTTTGTTTCAAATGATAATTCTCCTGTGAAAGTTAAAAAAAATTTACATCTAAATACAACATTCTATAATTTGTAATAATTATGTTTTAGTTTTATCTTAATTTAATTCTTGTTGGAAAAATATGTTGATTGTCAATTATCTTAAAGGTTTTATCCCTTTAAGTATCCAATTATACCCTGTCCAAACTTCTGAATAAAAAAAAAGTTAAAGTGCATCCAACACCCTGAAGTATTTTCTCGGGTGCATCCAACACTCTAAAATATTTTGTGGTACATCTAGCACCCTGAAATATTTTTTTTAGATACGTCCAGCATCGTAAAATTTTTTGATACATTCAACATCTCAAATGTTTTTTTTTAGGTGCGTCCAGCACCCAAAAATATTTTTTGGTGCATCCAGTAACAAGGCAAAAAAAATACTTCAAGGTGCTAGGCATTCCTAAAAAATACTTTGGAGTGCTGAATGTATAACAAAATATTTTAGAGTATTAGATGTATCTGAAAAAATATTTTGGGGTGTTGAGTGCACTTTAAAAATATACTACCTCCGGTCCTTATTATAAGACCCCGTTTGACTTTTTGTTTGATCCTAATTATAAGACCTCAATCCATTTTGTTTCTCGTATTTATGCATTTTTTTTCAAGATAATCCTTCTAATAATGATAGTTCTAGCCAATATACTTAATTAGTAAGGATATTTTAGGAATGACAACACTTATTTATTACAAATAACTAACTTAACTTACTTTCTTAATCTACTCAAATAAGTCAACTGGGTCTTATAATTAGGACCGGAGGTAGTATATATATATATATATATCCACACACACACATGTCATCCCGGTAGGGAGTCAAGGACGAGACGAGACTTCAGCTGTCACTGTTATTTTTAATATTGTGATAGTAAATCGCGCTTTCCCCGTTCAGGAGTCACCTAGAGGACGAGAACCTTATAAAAGGCAGGTGCATCACGGCTCCATTGCGAAACGTACTGCACTCTCTTCTTCATTTGTTCGCGGTCCCTCCATTTCCATTTCTTCGCGAGTCACTTCCATCAGATTCAAATGGCTGCAGCGC